GGAAAAAATCTATTAAATATGCAGCACTTCATAATCAACTGTCCTGACCAAACCAGCTGAGCTGTAACTGAGTTTCTAAGGCTGTGACTATTTTTATTATTGCTTTTTACAATTAATTGAATAATAATTCTGTACACAATGTGAGAAGCGTCTTCATCATGTGTATATATGACTGTGGGTGCGAGGACAGGATCTCATGTACTCTAGGCACTGTTGGTGGTGCAGTACAGCCTGTAGGTGAAAGATGGAAACTCACAGTTTAATCTACTGGAACATCAGGAAGGTCATGGTGGTGATAGAGAAGTGAAAGAATTGCAGTGATATTTAAAAAACAGCATCCAAGTACTGTTTGGCTCAAAATATCATTGGTTAGGTATGGTAACCTCAGATATGTGAATGTAGGGAAGCAGAAGTGAAAGAACAATGAGAAGTATCAGAAATTGAACTATAGAGAAATTAAGTCAAAATGTGAGAGAAAAGAATATCCCTGAACATTCGACAAACGTTAAGTGAAAAAATTACTTTTTTAATTGAATAAATAATTGTATTTAATGATATAACAAAGAAAAACATCTGCAATGCTCAATACAATAATTTTAAGAATATTAAGCATTTTCACTTTATAAATGACCACATCGTTGTTGTTAGATTTTCTGTCAACCAATTAGTTGATACATTAACTAATAGTGAGCCAGTCCCCCATTACTCTTGCTCTAAAACAGACCATATTTCTACTGCTGTAAAACATGGGCGTAGTGATGAAAACGGACTTGAGGCAGTGCTGCAGGATGGAGTGAGTGAGGAGTAAGAGCATCTATTTCTTGTGTGTATCAGTGGGGCAGATAAAAGCATCTCTTCTGATGAGTATTATCTGGTAGTGCCAGCCTGGTCAGGTGACATTGTGTCTCCTACAGTCTCCTCTTCCGCATGATCTCTTCTGCTCTTGTCTGCCTGCTAAGTCAAGGTCTGGATCTCTTCCAGTGGTATCTCTCGCTCTCGCGTCACATTATTCTCTTTTTTTTTCCAATGATGACCTCTTTCTGTACATGAAGCGCATTGGACAGACACACAGACGTCACCTTAAATACCCTTTTCTATTTCCATATTTCATTGACAAACAGCAGGTAAATCAATGGCAGTCGGTGGCCTCTAGTACAGGGACAGGGAGCCCTCTTGAGAGCATTGGAAGAGCTGTTGCTGCAGTTAAATTTATTTTATTTTTTACACAAGGAAGAAAAGATGTCAAATTTTATAGCTGATCAGAGCCCCAGCTTCTGAGTTGCTATTTTTGTTAGTTCGGAATATGCTGTAGGTAGCAATGATTTTTACCAGGCAAACACGAGAATATGTTATATATGTATAAATATGTAAGTGCATATAGTATATTGCTGCAGTATTCCTATCTATCCTCACACATACAATATACGGACACATTTGTCTCGTCTCAGTGGATTGCAGTGGATACACTGCCTCCCAGGAATGCAGACATCATAGAAAGCTGGCACATGCAGGCTCAGTGTTTCCTCTCATCCAGACACCCATAGCTCAAACAATCCACCAGGAGTCTACACCAGCTGAGGTGGATATTCATCAGCTTGCAGGATGAGAAGAAAAAAAGAGTAAAGCTTAGGCCAAGTCGCTTAAATCACAGAGCTTATGTAGCAGCATCAACTCTGTCTGTATCAGTTTTTTTCCTTCCATAGTTTCTTTGTGAGACCTCCTTTGATTCTCACATGAGAAATCTTATCATTTTTAGCCTTCACAGAAAGGTAAGTATCCAGGATCAGAAATAGAGAAGAAACCTTTGAGGTTGGGATGGTTTGTCATACTCATAAGGACACATGAGCTGAGTGGGTGCTTGTTTCACCTCCCTCTGTCCTTCAATCTACCACCCACGTATGACCTTCAAAACTTTTCCTGTTTGCCTTCATCTCCTTCTTTTAACTCCTTTTCCACTTTTATTTTGGGGAGTTTGTTTAAGTTGCAGGGATGCAGGGAGTGTCAGTGAGAGTATCATGATTGTCATTGTCCCTGGGGGAGTCCTTGAGAGCTTCCAAGGACACAGGGTGTCTCTTGGCTGGCTGACAGCTTGTCAATTACTGCCACCAAACCAAACTGCCTGGGGGCACAGAGATATCTCGCCCCTACAACAGATCTGCACAGATCTGCACAGATATGGACTGCATGTCTCAGTTGCTAACGCCACCTGTTGGCCTGCTTATGGTACACTGGTGCAAATGCTGAAACTCCCTGCCTCTCTTTATCTCTCTCACACACACATATAAACATATGCTAGGGATGCTACTTTTGCTGACGCAAGTCACTCTTAGCCAAATAGCATTAAAGTCTACTTGTATATAAAAATGTTGACCTAAATTTGAGTCTACATTTTACTATGGTTCCTGTCAAAGAAAATATGATTATGAGTCAAACAGCATGGGCTTATGAAACAGGACTCATGTTATTTAAAGCTCCTCATTACCATAGAAAGTGAATGTGTCAGATATGGTTACCTTGCTCTGCTGTATATGTGACTTATGTAATATATGCACCATGCTGATAATGTGGGCTCTGTTATGTATAGTACGTCTCTTTGGCTTTTTATGATGTTATTGGAGATGTTGAAGGACACAAAGGTACATGGGGTGCATTAGCTCATTTAGCATCTTGTGTCATGCTGGATGCAAAACACTCCACAGGATGTGCAATCAATATATGTTGGCACACAAGTGTTTTACTGAACAGACGTGGGCAGAATGCAGAGGGACCAACATGTGCTGCCATTTCTCTAACAATCCCCAGACTCTGCGCTATCTGTCCATCTGTCTTTGTAGTTTGTCACAGTTTGCTTCATGCACCAAACTCATGCCTCTCTCTACACATCTGTGTGTGTGGTTTCCGATGGAAAAAAAAAAATAACTGCACATCCTTGCCTTTACCCCCTTCCCCACAAAAAAAAAACTATTAAGACTTGGAAACCCTGTGGTACTTAACAGAGTTCTGCTAGTTTGGCTTCCTGTATAATCTACCAAATTACAACCTTCATTTATAGACCTCCTGTTGGTAGGTTAGTTAAATTACCCACAGGAGCTACTAAGCAGTAATTACAACTTTTACATCTTAGCATCGTTAGTGGTTTATAATTGTTAGACACAGGCCACAGAAATCTATTGCAGTTGTGAGGAGATATCCTTTACTCTTAGCGCGCAGTATATTTTCTTCCACTAGTCTCTCTTATGGCTATTTCTCAGAAATTGCATTATTGTTATTTCCTGAAGAGTTAGAAGATCACTTCTACTTCATCTCTTGCAGGCAGAGGAGCAAAGTTTTCCCAGTCCTTGGACCTGTTAGTCTGCAGAGAAACATTTCAGCACGCTCCCTGTTTGTCCATTCACATGCTGTTTGCTGTCAGAGTTGCTGTAGACACTGGGGCCAGGCAGGAATGTCCCCCTGACCAATTACCTGATTAGCTTTCTGAGCACACACAGCATAGCCAAGGCTAGCCAGTGATAGTATACACACACGGTCTGTCTCCCTGTAGCTCTCCCCACCTTTAGAAACACACATGCAGATGCATGATGTCCACAAGGGCAAACGACTGCCGGCCACCAAAGCATGGCGCTGCATGATTCTGTTAAGTCACACATGAACATGTATAGTGTTGTCACACACTCGTTTTATACATACATTACTGCCAATTCACTGCAGTCCACTAATGACTCTCTTTGCTTCTCTGCAGTAGTCGGACAGCTGCTCTGGCTGGCTCAAACTGGTCAAACAGAGTTTATTCTCTTACCATCATGCCAGCACACACTCACATACCCCATGTGCTCATTTCGCATCGCACGTCAGCTTCGGAGAGACAGTTATTCCGTACAGCTGTAATAAAAGAACAGTCCTGCTTTGGTGCCAATAGTAGTCTTTGGCATTCTTTGGAAAAAATCATTAATTTTCACATTGCATTTGTATTTGTACCCAGTGTGTTATTAAGTTCATTTGTTATGAATGTGTTCCTTGGCAAAGCACAGAGATAAGACTTGATTAGTTATGACGTGACTGGCACATTTGATTCTGAATTCCCATCGTGCATTTGACGGATTTTAAATTAGCATGCAGACTAAGATGTGGCCTTTACCCTCAGCACCTGTTACTGTGACTCCCTATGTGCTTTCCTTCTTTTACACCTTCTGTAGTACCTTTCTTCTTTCTGGCTGCTTGAATGCCTCAATCTTGAGTCCCAGTTTGTGAGTGTGTATCCTCACAGTTTTATTAAATTTCTCACTAGTTTAACTTTCACATCCTCTTCGCACACTCTGTCTCTTTTTCTACCAGACAGTCAGTTAAGTTATTAATGTTTACCAATAATTATCAAAATCTATTTTTTGTAAGGCAAGTAATCTCCCAGTAGGAATTAAGTAATGGTGTCTTTTTCCTCATTATAGTTACATGATTATTCTCAAACCCTGAAATCAGTCAGTCCTGATCTGTCCATCTTAAAATTATTAATGTCAGATGCTGCACTTTGGCTTTTCGTAAAACACTAGTGAATTCTCAGTTTTTTTTTTCACAGATTGACCAAAGACTGCAGGGTTTGTTTATTTGTTTGTCCTTGTGTCTTGGCAAACTGATCAGATTTTTGATGGAGCTTGCTGACATGTTCATCACTAATTGACACAGAAGGGAAGTGCTCCTATCTTTGGGGGCGTAGTGTTGCCTTGTTTGCCTTGACTTTTTATTTGTTAGGATATTGACACTTGGTGTAGCACTGAAACTACTGTGAAAATAAGGGGATTATCCCACCACTTTGTCCAGCTCTCTTCTCATGTACCCTCCCTTGAGAGTGAAGTTTACAAAACTACAACCCCAGGCTTGTAATGCTTGAAGGAATTGATTGTCTTTCTCCACTTTAGCATGGTGGATACTCCACTGGCCATCCTCTCTCACTCCTTTTGTAGTGCCACTTTCATCTAACTGCTCTCTGCTTTACTCTGCTCCTGTAGGAGTTGATGACCAAATTGATAACTGAGACTCCAGACCATCCAATCCCTTTTCTCATTGATCACCTGCAGACCAAGCAAGACAGCCCTGGCAAGCTGCACAGAGCTCTCTCTGGCTCTGCAGCACTGTGGGCGCAGAGCTCCCCAGGTCGGTACACACACACACATGCAGAGTGAGGCATTTGTCTTTGCACATATTCCTCCCCACAATACACACAGTATATAATGAATATAGGCTCAAAGAGAGACATTAATCTGCACCTGCAACAGAGACAACAAAGCTTTGCAGAGTGAACTTGGCCTGCATTTATACTTTCTACAATTTGCATAACAAATACATTCTGAGCAGATATTTTGACTATCTCTCCCGACAGAAAGCAAAAACCCTCGAAGGGAGTACAGCAACTATGAGAAGCCATGGCAAATTCACCCAAAGAAACCAAAAAAATCCAAGAGCGACCTGGCTGTTTCTAGCATCTCTCCTCCCTCACCAGAATCCAAGTCTTGTAAGTTTCTTTTTTTGTGCACTTCTTTCTGAATTTTTTTTGTGCTTAACAATGATTGCACACGCACACACTCACACACACCATCCACTTTAGAATATGAAGCTGCACAGTTTTGATACCTGTTGTATCAGTTGTATCCCAATTACACGCTCCATTGACTTTAATCTCCATTTTTAATTTGATATAATTATATCTAATTAAAGTTAGTCACAGTGTATAGTCCAGCGTCCTCCTTCCAGCCTGCCAGAGCCCTGTAGATGAGTTCATTATAAAGTGCCACTTTTTACACACTTCTTATGCTGCTGCACTGCGACACACTCTGAAGATGAATTGTTCACAAAGTTCTTGCATTAATGTAAAATGAATGCAGATGAGATTTTTCTGGCAGTAACTTTTTTTAAAGTAATAAATTACCGTAGCTATGATGTTAGAATGAAGTATGACACTTGAGACAATGAGGCTAGGTCAAATGGGGAGCAAGCAGCGCCGGAGACTTCAATAATTTAACTTTGTGCTCTGTCACTGCCAGACCAGGTCTATTTTAGGCTGCGGTCGGAGCATTTCTCACAATCAAGAGGAAATGGTTGTCGGGATGAATGCGTAAAGTGAGAAAGAGAAAACAAGTGAGAGGAAAAGTCAGAATAAAGTAAGCGACACTCAGCCCATCAAGGTGTACTTCCCCTTCAGAGTAAGATGCCTTCAAAGTGACATTTAAAGTCAAAATCAAAAATACATGAATAGGTGTTTTGGTGTGTAGAGCTCATGAAAAATTTAAATCAAAAGAACTGTCGCTCATCATTATTGTACAATGTAGCAAGAACAACTCAAAAGCTGTCATAAATAGACAGAGCTTCCACTGATATGCTTGATTTTTCTTTCTGTGTACAGCGTTCGCCTCACTTCTACTTGACTGATGCTTTAATGGGCAGCCCCAGTGGGAATTTAATCCTTAACCCCTTAATCTAGGCTATTAAGATACAACACAGCCCTTTTCAGCAGCAGCAGCAGCAGCAGCAGCAGCACCACCGCACACACAGCAGAGCAGAAAGAGGAAAGAGAGGCACTCTTTGCCGGAAGTAATGTTTTTTTTTTTCTCCAGTCTGTATTTGGCAGAGACATTTGCTCTGTGTTTATGGTTGCTACAATGCCAAGCAGCTTAGTCAGAGTAAACAAGGGTAGAGGATGGCAGATTGTAGCAGCAGTGCTGTCAAATATTAACATTCAAGTTTATTTATTTATTTGTGTGTGTGTGTGTGTGTGTGCAAACAGAAGGGTGATACTACCTCGCCACACCTATCATCACATATGTGTTTCAGTCAAACATGCATGAAATGTATTCTGAAGCTCTTTGCATTATATTCCAGTTAACATGTCTGTTCAGGCAGGGAACAGTTTCTAGTAGACAACCAGTACATTTGTTTGGCATCTCTTCATAACCCACTGGTTTTTCATGTCAATTCAAATTCAGCTGTGTTAGAGCATAAGAACATTGGATATGGATGAACTACGAGTAATCCCTCTGCTACAAAAGAATACCGCTCTTTCTTTTTATAAATAATGTCTGAATCCAACAGTTAATGAATTAACCATCATATAGAAGCTTAGGGACACTGCTATAGGACGTGGGCAGGATGTCAGTACAGTATGTGGGTCATTTCCTGCTCCTGTTTGAGTTATTTTGAATGTTAATCAAAGAGACTGACAGACATTGTCCCCTGGCCTGTGGCCAGTGAGCTCTGTGCTTCTGGAAGAGACATGTTGACTTTTCTGCCAGTGTTTCCATTCCACTCCATCCTTCAGTGATTCAGAGTCCTGTTTGGACAAATGTGCATCAAGCTGTGGTGATCAAATCACAGTATGGTTGTTTTTTCTGTTCTTATTTTTGAAAGTTTGGTCAGACTTATTGTTGTTATTGTTGTTATGGTTGTACAGAAGATTCATACAATCGTTATCTGTGGTGCTTTCAGAAGATCTGAAAAAAATTGCATGTTTATGTTTGTGATCCAGTGCCACGGTCAATCGAGTACCCGTCCTGGGACTGGAGGGAGAGCCGGGACTTTGACGAGCTCAACCACATCCTGCAGGAGAGCAAGAAGCTGGGCAAGGCCCTGGAGAGTCTGTCACGCAGTGAGTAGCTGCAGCTCGGCTCACTCAGGCCACACTGAGCAGTGTTTAATACATCTTAACATGCAGAAGTAAAGTGTAACCTTTCTGTAAATGTCACTGTAAATCCAGAGAGGAAACCAGATCGAGGAGCTAATCTTACAAGCCCGCCACTAAGCTCAGAAGCAGCCTAAGCCGAGATTTTGAACTGTATTAGATGCTTCCCTGTGCTTTAAACCATTTTCTTCTTCTTTGCAGGCATTGCCATCTCTGATGAGCTCGACCAGGTAGACATTAACTAGACTGGAATCCTCTATTAAAATCCTATACACATTGGCATTACAGTTATGTGGAAATGGAGTTCTGTCAGTCATCACTCGGCAACATCACTCACGCTACATCAAATAAAAGCCATGTTTCATAACTTTCACTCAGTTGACAGAGCAGCACAGCTCTTTTTCTGATGATGAACTGCTATCTCATGGGAGTGATATGCAAGAGTGATACTTCAGTAAGCATGTCCTCCATCTCTCTCTCCCTTGTTGCTTCAGTGTGCATCTTACACGCAAAGCTTTGTCTGAGCTCCGTCTTTGTCCTCGCCTGGCCCCAATTCTCTCCAAACACAATAGTGCAGTGGCTGCCCAGGCTGGATATGCACAGAGTGATTTGGAAATGATGGGCCTCCATGAGAGACGTGGCATATGTTTTGACAGGGACTTTACTTTTTGCTCAGTGCAGCAGTACATGTCCAACGTCCTTGGCTCTCAGCCCAGAGATTTTCCTTCTTTTTCTGCGGGACGGGGCAGGAAATGAATACTAAACACCTGCTCTGATCATGCAGAGACAATAGCATTTGATACTATTCTGGGTTTAGTCAAAGACAAGTAGACATATCTTTGCTTTTTGTACTGAGCAGAGTTGTAAATGTGTGCTGGTTGGTTTTGGAAACAGAATGGGAGGGATCTCAGACAATACTGTGGCGCTTTTCAAAATTCCATTCTCTGAAAAGTACACAGTGTTAAGATAAAGTTTTATAGCAGTTCTGACTCCACTTGCTTATTCCTGTGCCCTTTTTTATTTAATCTGCATCTTTGTCTTTCTGTCTGCCCTTTTCAGTCTGTTGTTTGACTCTTATTATTTATGTATTGCTCTTGTAGAACTTGGGAGGCTATAACTCAGTGTTGCGCCCTCGTGTGGTGGGGGAGTGGGTTGGTCGGGAAGAAGAAGACGCGGACCCACTGGCTGCTGAGATGCTGCATCCCCCCGTCCCTCGGGCTAAAACTGAAGTGTGCTGGAGTGGGGACAGCAGCCCTGCTGGGAGGTTGGTGGTTGGCATTGTGTAGTCATATGTAGAAGTGTGTGTGCAAGCGTGTGCATGTGTGAATTATTTAAAATTTTAAAAAAGTTCAAAACTTCAAGAAAGTTCACAAAGCTATTGTTGGCTCTTTAAAAATTAAGAGGTAGGCTTCTAACTGTGCTGCCTGAGGAATGCCCATCTGAAAGGGTTTGATAATCCCATTTCAAAGGCGCGATCAAACATGCTTGCCATGATATTGCTTCAACCCAATTTTGAATTAAAGCTAACCTAATTTCTGTGCGCTCAAGGCCAGAGGAATTTTGTGCTTGTTATTTTTAAAATGGCCTGTCTTTGACAATATAACTGCGTCATGTGTTGAACTGTTACATCATTTGTCGCCCTCTCAGGAAGTTTTTTCCACCATTTCTAATTTTATTTTTGTTTGTTTGCAAAACTAGCCTACTTCTTAATAGCCTGGTACCTCTCTGTTAGACGTTACTATTACAGTGTGTGTGTGTGTGTGTGTGTGTGTGTGTGTGTGTGTGTGTGTGTGTGTGTGTGTGTGTGTGTGTGTGTGTGTCACATGCGCTACTGCTGCTGCAGCTGATGTGACTAATTAGAGGAGGATTGGATATAAAACCATAAATCATGCGCGGGCCTGAGCTGACATACACACTGTTAATCTCATTAGGTTACTGTATGGGTGGATTATAGGGAGAAATCACTTAGTTAGAAGTCTGAGCTGGGAGATAGGGATGTGTGTGTGGGCTCACTGATGAGCTCTGCTCTTTGTGTGTGTTTGTAAATTAGATGTTTCGTGTTTACCTGCGAAGAGAGACCTACCTTACCTATGTGAGACACTTCAGTACCTGTATGTTTAGACTGGTGTAGCATCCCAAAATAATCACAGATCCTTCTTTCATCAAGTGGAGGAGTATTTTGCTCTTCTGATTTTCATCATTTATATCAACTCTGAATTGCATTTACTGGGAACTTGGTCCCACTTAAGAGCTTGTTTAGGGATTGAGATCACTTTAATATCCTCTGAGTTGAGTTTTCTGGCCAAGCCACAAGTCAGAAAATGGACAAATCAGAAAAACAATTTTTTTTTTTTCTCTGTGATGGTGTAAGGCAGAGGTTTTCAAACTGTGAGGCTCACCTCCCCAGGGGGCATGGGAGAAGAGTTGAGGCATGGATGTTGTGTCACGTAAAGGGACAGGTGCATTCTAACAACAAAACAACAAAGGGTTCATTATTGTACTTTGGCCAGGAATTTGGCCTTCTCAGAGTCAGTAACTCACATACTATACACATATGTTTAGAATCAGTTTGACTTGCACTTTCATATCTTATCAATAAATCTGAAATCATAAAAAAAGATGCTTGTTACAACTCCAGAACTCCAGAATCATCGCATTTTTAAAAGAAAAGTCCAGTGTGTAACATTTAGGAGGATCTATTGGCAGAAATGGAATATAATATTCATAGGTATGTTTTCATTAGTGTATCATCACCTGAATATAGTTATCGTTGTGTTTTTGTTACCTTACAATAAGCCGTTTTATCTACAGACGCCGCAGAGTGGACAAACCAAACACTGCCTCTAGATGGGGAGGTTCACATTTTTCACATTTCGTGGCCACCGTAGTTTCTCTTCTGCACTTGGAAGGGGATGGTGAAGCGAGGAAGTTGCGATCTGCAACTACACTGCTAGATGCTGCTAAATCCTACACACTGGACCTTTTTTAAAGATTTCTTCAGTATCAAAGTAATTGCAAACAGGAACTACTAATCTAAAAAAGCTGGTGAGCTTTAAAAGTTGTAGATAAAAGTGACCACTCTGAGCAAGTGGAAAACTGGCAAAGACCAGCACTGCCCGCTCTTAAAATCCCATCTGAGCCTTAATAGGCCATCCCCTCTGGTGCTCATACACATACACACAGACTAGAGTCCTCACATTTTCTCATGTATCTGACCTTATTTGTCAAACCAGTCCAACTTCCTCCTCTTACTTTGGTAAGTTTACTTGTTTTCATTTTCAATCTTGCCTCGGCCCCTCATTCCAGCCCACCTGTCACTGAGGACCATAAGGAGAGCTGACAGGTGGTAGTGGCTGACTGTATGACTGGCTGCAAACTCTGGAAGGATAAGTGCAAGGGGCACATGGGAAATCAGATGCAGCTGTGGCAGAAGTATATTGAAGGAAATGGCTTATTTTGATGGAGTCTGCTCTGTGGAATGGGACTTCCTCATTCCATGTCTGTCAGTGCCATAAACTGTACTTCAACTCTCTCTTCTATCCTACCTGTTATAACTTTATATTTTTTTCTTTACACCAGCAGATACTAATCCTGTACATAATAACATGGAAAGGTCATGATAAATGAAGAGCTAGGGAAAGACAACTTTGTGGCTTACACCTGCTTTGCTTTTGTTGTCATATTTATCGTCTTTGATGACTGGATTTTACCACCCGAGGTTGCTCCCTGTGGGGAAAACATTGCTGACACCGGTGAAGCTGTCAGCAGGCACAGTAAGCCTGAGATTTTTATAGTAGATGTGAGCCCATAATATGGTGCAACTTCTTCACCTTTCTGAGCTTTCCTACTTTTAATGTAAGACTTGCTGTCTCAGCTTACCTTCTGTTGCAACCTTTTTCCCAAATAGGTGGTTAGATAAAGAAAAAAACAGTTGCAACATGGCACCAACCACTTTTCCTTGTCCATAATAGCACACAGAAATACCATACAGAGAGTATGAATAATTATCTGTCATCTTATGACCCTTCCCCATTATCTGTAAATAGAAGCCATTAAACTGAGATTAGCATCAAATTAATACTCTTCCGCAGCTCTAATCCACGCCCTCAGCCTGTGGGATATGGAAATTAATTTCTCCAATACAGAGGTAACAGAGAAGTCTGCCTTCATAATTGTATCTGTAGCTTTAACTGTATAGGAAGGAGACATTATTTGGTCATTTTTCAGCTGTTCTCTATGTTCTAGGCTTAGACAGAAGCAACACAATTTCACCTGAGAAATTAATAAAGCTTTGGGGAATAGAAATATGAAGAGAAGCATTTGATCCCGTCCATCTATAGTTTTTTAATTTAAAACAGCCTGGGAGAAAGCCTGAGAACTGTTAGGATATGTGGTGCTGCAGTAAGCGGTAGATAGGAATGAATTCTAAAGAAAAAATGTACATGTAGCATAAACCTTCTTGATTAAATAAAAAATGCAAAGGACAAGACATTTATAAAGTAATAGAAAACAACAGTGTTCTTGTTCATTATTAGATTTTAGCAACATTGAGTAAATCAGATTTGTATTAACATTTTATGATTTTTAACAAACAATGCAGTCTGGCAAGTCTGCTTCTCCCTTTGCTTTACTTCAGGGATTTAAAGATTAAAACAATAACACATTTCCCCTTCCTCCATTACATCTTTATTTAATTGTTTATTTTGATTAGTTTCTCTCTTGCTGACTAAAAACTACAGGGAATCCTTTCAGCACCTCATATCCATCTACATGTTTATAAAACCTCCTCGGCTCAGGCCCTTCCTTTAAGCTCCACATCCTCTAAATACTACTGATCATGGATTGTGGTTAGTGCTACAACTATTTCTCACCTCAGAACCATTATCCCCTCTTATCCTCTCCCTGCTTACCATTTATAGCAAGGTGTTCTGCACCTGCATGGCACTTGAAATGATTGTGTGGTATTTTATCCCTAACAACCATGAAATGGCTGCCAAGTGCAACAAGTAGTGAAACTTCACTTAGATACAAGCCTGGCAGATTAACGTGAAAGGGTGTAATTACTATAGGAGCACAGTTATTATAAAACATGCTATTTTTTGTAAGTATATTTCTCAGCTGACAATGTTACTGTGGATGAAAGCCTTTTTCTACTCCTGTTAAGCCCTGACTCCTTTTCCGTTTGCCTCCTCCAGCCTGAAGATGGAAACAAAGAGCAAAGGGCTAAGGGAGCAGCAGCAGCATCACAAGAAGCTCCTGGCAGCCATGTTGTCCCAGGATTCCTTTGATTCGGTCCATAGCCCTGCCCCCTCCATCACAGAGGAAGAGATGGAGGACGAGGACGATGCCATGGAGCTTCTGGGTAATATCACATATTCCGCATATGCATGAACATTGTACATTTGTACATACAAAGACACAACTTGTAAAATGCGTTCTGCATTGACTCACTTCCTGTGCAGTTGCATACCATTAATTTCTGTTGTTCATATGAAAATGCCATTCATCATAGTACTGAGCCAGACTGTCAGGCAGGTGTACAACATCTTACTGTGTGTATCAGAAGATGCCCCGTTGGTGTGATAGAAACATGTTTTCTTACACACACTGAGAACAGCTTGCGCTGTTTACCTTGTATGTGTATGCGAATTTTAGGTGTGCAGTGAGCAAAGTAAGCTGACTAATGCCTCGCTAACGTGAAGACTAGAAAACAAATTACAGCCGGTAATGAGTCATTCTCTTTGCAGAGCTCATTAGTGTTATATGTTTTTTCTTTTTCTGATAAAATCAATTTGTTTTGACATTCAGAAGTCCAAATGTATTTCAGTAACTTTGTAAGTGAAGCTACATCACTTATGCTTTAACATGTTTTTAAGAAGTAGGTGATTTGGGCTTGATCAAGAAGATCAAGATCAAGAAGAACATTCTTCAGCTGATGTGTGTGTATATATAGGGAATATATTGAAATCTAGATAAACAGGTTAAAAAATACCTACAGTACCTACAAGTGTATTGGACCTTGTCCTCTACTGCATAACTGGTTTTGTTAGAGCTACCACTGAAGATAAAATTGAGCTTCGATAGTAGAAAAAATATAATTTATCATAATTTCTCTCCTCATTGCATCAACATTAAATATTGGAAGTGAGAGAAGTGTCTCAGAGCCTTAGATAGACATTTCCCCACTGACTTGAAAGCATTAGGCATGTTGAGTTAACTCTGGGTTACATTTTCTCAGCTGGAAAAAACTGCTATTAGTGTTGCAGTTTCTATGGCTGCATGCATATACTCATATGCACCATGTTCAGACATCTTCTCCTTGAGTTGTGGAAAAGCATTTTTGTAAAAGTGGAAAAGCATTTACTGAGAGAGATAGAGAGGTCGATTCTTCATTTGAGGAAAAGAGAACTGTTAGAGGACAGCTTAAAATGGTTGCGTATATGCAGACCTGTAGGCGTGCTCACTGTATGTCGTGGCTGGATAGCTGGATGAGCAAAATAGCAGTTAGTTTATGTGCTGTACTAAAGACCACTTTAGTAGTAGCTGTTAAAGGAAACTATGCTTCCTGTTTACATAGTCTGGCCAGATGCTCTCAGACAGTTATTTTAAGTATTCACTTTGACAAGTACAAGAATCACAAAGCAGCTCCATTGATTTACTTTGTGCGTGTGTTCACATTTCTTCACGCAGGTCATGCCATCATGTACTGACTTTTAAGATGGTTGAGTAGGTGACAAAGGAGGTGGAGAGAGAATCTAATGTGATGGCTTCATTCAGTGGAGGGTCTAAGAGCTCATCATCCTGTCTGTTCTTACACAGCGTGTAATACCTCATGCCGAATTGAATTTGTTGCCTGAAATATTTTGTAAAGCACTCGTTCTCTGTTTCTCTGTCACTTGCTCTCCCCACTTACTTCTCTACTGTGAGGTAATCTTTACCTGCTGGGGTGATCCCTTTGAGTAAAGTAGCTTATCCCTGCATTGTAACAATGCTGTAAAGAGAGGCCATAGACACACTTATGCACACAACAAGGTATGCAGCACAGATTTTAGAGTTAAAGCATCACTTATAGGATTTATCACACTAGTGACTCTTCTAAGAATCCATCAGAATCTGAATTGTTGAAAGCCCTAGCTAATACTGGGAAAAGCCAGCTCTTCTACAAATACAACTCAATGTAAAGTCAAGTACTTTCTTCACAAATGCCTGACACACAGTACTTCTTTGAAGGATAACAACCTACAACCTTGTCTTTTTTATTTCCCCGTGTCTACAACATGGGCCCCAATTATAGTGCTTCAGTGTCTCTCCAGTCTCCTTAGAGCTGCTGCTCTGTGGTGACACACAATCTACGTATGTCTTTGCTCTCTGCTCTACTGTCACAGCACTGAGGCACTTGTGCTTGTTAGCAGTATCTTTTCATCGGGGTCATCCTGAGGGTCACGTTTCTTCCTTGATGTGTGGCTGAGTGGCTTACAGCTGACACAGACGGGAGCTGCAACAAATTATTGTTGAAGCTACACATTGTTTTAATTAAAAGCTTGTTTAGCATATAAAATATCAAAATGATAAAGTTACCAATGCCAAAAATGATTGTCTATTGTGTCTGCAAATTTAAAAATCTTTATATTAATTGACTACTCAGTTAATTAAGCACTAATACTGACCATCAGATCAACTCGGATTGGATTAATCTTAAATTCACTGCTAAGAAAGTTACTATTCCATAATAATGGGAAGAAATCCTGTAAAGACAAACACTATGTATACACCAGGCTTTTCTTTCCTTTTATATCAGCTTAGCACAGTTGTGACCCAGGAAAGCAGTATATAATAGTGAAAGATACATCCATAAAACAGGATGTTGATGGTCTGTGATGGCCCTCCTTAATCATAACTCTGACTCCCAGGCATATTCCCACAGTGGCTTTTACACTATGGTCTAGGGCAGTAATTCAAAGGAAATAATGCAGCGAGGTCATTTCTGATCCTCTCTCAAGGCCTGGTCATGGTGTTCTCTGCAGGGACTACTGCTGCTGTGTTGACTGTCACCCTGAGTGGCCTGCCTCGATACTGTAGAGTTGATTAAAGTGATGCTAACATGCAGCTTGTGGTGGCCTGGTGGACTTGAGTGAAATGAATGACCCTCACGAGGATTTCTGGGCCTCATTTAGAAGGAGAGTCTTGGCACAAATTTTGTGGCTATGATCAAATGCATGCCAAAGATGACTGATGACACTTGGCAGTGATGGTGATCTTGTGATAGTATATTGATCTCTGAAGGAGATATTTATCTTTTTTTCTTGCTGCTGGTCACATGAAGGTTAAAACATATGGCCAGCATCTCTCCTAGAACTGGTAGGGATTCAATGACTTGCTCAAGGACTCTACACCTGGCAGGGTGCTTGCTGTTCAATGTGTTAAATTGTAATTGGTGGATTAAAGTGTTCACTCAAATTAAATGATATGGCAAAAGCATGTACTGTAGCTTCTTTGTGCAGTTGTCTTAGGTTTTAATGTCATAAGCATTAACAGTGTATTTTTGTTGTATTCTTTTGTGGTCTGGTTTAACAAAGAAATACATTGTTACTTGATAACATGCCCAAAAGGATATATAGTTCATTCCCACATGGGCTTTATTGACTCTTATGGCCTCTCACATGCAGCAAAACATTAACTACAGTACCAGAAACTGTTGTTGGCATGTTCTCTAGTTGCTGCTATATGCTTAGAGTGACCTCTAGTGGCTAAACTGTGGTATTACAGCTGCTGTCAGCTGTCAGTTTTTAAGCATTGAGCCAGGTCAAATAGTATTACCAGACACTTATTAGAGTGTCAGATGAGTACTGAGATGAATTTAGGAAAGCTGACAGGAAAGTGTGCATAGGCGTTTAATACTTCTGGCAAGTATTATTAGAAAGACCATTAAAATAAAGCTTTTGGATGCAGATGTGAAGCATTTAGCACAGTTGCACACATGACTTTTAAAAAGTTTTGCCACTTCAAACCAAAAACACTTCCATTCTCTTTCAAACACCTACACAGATCTCAGCTTCTCAAACATCTGTATTGGTATTACAGTCTTGTGCCTAACAATTTTTATCATAGACACTCGTGCCGAAGGAACATATGTTAACTCCAGATGCACATCAGTAGTTTCTCTGTGTAGTTGTTGTGTGTATCAGTGGAGCAGAGACTTGTTCATCACACCGGCTAATTGGCTATGCGCCTCCTTGTTGTGCCGATTGCTGATGTACAGACAAATCTACACTACCCAAATGAGAGCAATTACATTAGCAAGAAATTAACTGGTCCCACGGTAGGAATGTTATCAGTCATTTTTACCTGTCCAAACCTCTGTATGAGGAAAGGAGAGTTCAGAGCCACAGTGAACACAAAACGTATAATATCCAAAATATCCACTGGGAGGCAGGAGAGGAGCACTAGTTTGCCCTACTGTGTAACAACTACTGTGTCTGTCAGAGAATAGGATGCGTAATAAAAGCAGGCTTAGAAGATACAAAGAAAGTTAGCAAATGATCTCCATTTCCTTATTGAGCAGAAGGGTTTTCCAAACTGGGTGTCTTTTTGCCAACACCTGGATAAGGGGCTTATGAAAAAATAATAAGATCCTCTTGGAATGATTTACAGTGCTGCTAGCCAAGGTAGTCCAGATTGAATACAATTATAAAAAACAGAGACATGGCTTAAGGTTGATTGGTCCACATTGTTCCAAAAAGAGAAACTAAAATCAGCCAAGAGGCTAAGTCTTATTGATTCTGTAGTTGCTCTCTCAGGGATGGCACTGTGTTTTCCCAGTTGTTTTCATTAGTTCTGCGTTTAATATTTACCACAGTCAAAACCATATTGAAAATGAATGTGACTCACATGTTCTTGTAAAGCCATGGAAAATGTCAAGATTCTAGCTTTTGCTGGGCGGTGAGACCACAACTTTATACTGATCTGAAATAAGAAACAAGCTGAGTTCAGTGTGTGGGGAGAAACACCCTGTTTCTGGCCTTGCAGTGTTATTTTATGGTAAGTTAATGAGACGAGTTAGCCAGTTCCCCACTGTAAAGTTACTGTTCTCGTCATCCTTGGTGGAAGTATTCCATTTCAGAGACATACCCTTTGAATTCTCCAAATCTACTGTTGTTTAGAGAAAAAGTGTTCTTTACATGCCTGTAGGTATTGAAAAGCATATTATCATATAAGGTTTTTTTTTTTTTTTTTTTACAAAAACTCAGACTTTCTTAAGGTGTGATGGAAAGTTGAAGCTTTCGACCAAACCCAACACTTTAACCCCTTGAACCTTCAATCCAAGGGGTTAAAGAGTTTTGTTTGGTGGACACTTAGAGATTT